CACAGACTATGTGAGTTGGTTTACAGTATACGTTGCGGGAGAGGGTTCCATGGGGTCGCCTGGACACCTCCACATGGAGGAGATGGTGCCAATAGTGCACGGAAAACCTAACAATGAAATTAATAGTTAGAAAAATTAATTGTTAGTAAATACACATTAAAATGTACATCACATCCAAAATCATCTTTAGAGTGATACGTTCCTTTATTCGTATTTACACGAGCCCCACATCAATTTACCCAACACCTCCGTGAAAAATGGAATATCTCCGTCTCTAAATTTATGTTAATAAGGGTTACATGGGGGTGAATCTGGCCTTCAGATTGGTCGAGAGCCCGTTAGAAAGGGGATTAATTACCTGGTCAGACCTTGGGCACTTCTGGTACCATCTCTTCCATGAACTGGATGCTGGCACAGAGCCTGTTTAGGTGTTCCAGGAAAGCACCTACCGGAAGGCAATATGAGAAACGTATCGTCGAGGTATCTGAGCCAAACTCCCGGGCGGAAATTAGCTGTGGCAATGACTGTCTGTTTGAATTGTTTCATAAAAATGTCAGCAAGAACTGGGGATATGGGTGATTCCATAGAGGTTCCGGTGGTTTGCTCAAAGAACCTATCTTGCCATTGAAGGCCAGTGAATGCTATGCAGGTGATAAATAGGTCTTGAATCTGGGATGGGGTCTCGCACTAAGCTCTTAGACAGCAGAAACGGCATACTGGCATCACCTCCTGAAAATTCAGACTTGAGAAGGAAAGTTTCGTCACTACTTGTTTCTAAACTGAAAGGTGAACTGTAAAGAGGGGGTCTGGACCACAGTGTTATAAAGTCAATGCTCTTACAAAGGCTACCAGATAATCTGAAACGAAATGATGAGGATTCTGAGTATATCAAAATGCCAACAGTTTGATCCAGCCCTATTCACTCTAGAAATAGCGAACATGAAACGCACAATGAAAAAACTGAGAGATGAGGTTTTCTCAATGAAAATCCAATTTCTCAATACTGACTACCAAAGGACACACCAACAAACAATGGACCACAGTCACCATCAAAAGCTAAGCAGAACTCCTCCAACTGTGTGTCATTGAGGTAACTGCTTCCCCCACTGTCCACTTGTCCAATCGGTTCAATACAATATACCTGATCAAGCGGACTACTTAACGCCTTGGGAAGTTATCGACCAGTATTTCAATATCAGTGTTGACGGCAAGGATACTGGTGACACCGGCGCGATGGCCGCTGCACATGATAAGACAAAAGACACGTCAGGGTCATCATCCAGCTAGGCTCCCAGCACCTTCTTAATCACCATATCGGACCAGATATCGCACTATCAAATAACACAACAATCTAATACGAATCTCCTGTTGAGGTCCTCCTGGTTGGCGATTGATCAAGAAAATAAAAGGTCATCGCCTCAGTAGGAATAAGACAGAAACGGTGGTGGTGTTTTAATGCATGTTAACTCCAATGTCAATCGCACTATGAAAGAAGACCTCATGACGGATCACCTTGAAATTCTTACAATGGAAATATCACATGGGAAGTCGAAACCAGTTGTCATCCTTACATGGTACAGACCTTCCAATTCAAATATGGATTTTTTTAAGCATGTTGAGCGCATTCTAGGGCAACTTGAAAATGAAAATAAGGATGTTGTTGTTGACTCCATTAGCACCAATGCTTCTTGTTACACGAAAAAGGTCGAACTTACTTAAAACTGTCTGTCTCAGCAAGTATCACTCGGGTTATCGACCATCATATTGTACCCCAACAGCCTTGATCAATGTCACTGATGACTGGCTCAAAAGCTTCGATAATGGCGAAGTAGCAGGTGTCGTTATGCTTGACTTGAAAAAGCCTGGACTTTGACATCGTAATTCGCGAATTGAAGCTGTATGGTGTAACCAGTGAGGATATTAAAAGGTTCACCAGTTACCTGAATGCATAGCTGCCACATAACGTCAGTTCGCGGCATTGAACAGCTCAAGTTCTGTTCCAACACGTTGTGGGGTACCACAAGGGTCAATTCTTGGCTTCCTTCTGTTCATCATCTGCATCAATGACCTTCTTTATAATGTTATCAACTGTAAGGTCAGCATGTATGCAGATGAAACAGCCCCATATTACGCCAGAAAGGATGTCACTGAGCTTTTTCGGCCAATTAATGCCGATCTAATCAATGTCACACAATAGTTAAACAAAATTCTACCTAGTCTAACTGTTAACAGAACAGGATTAATTTTACTGGGTACAAATCCGCGACTTCGTAACTTGCACGACAGCAATTTTCTCGGCAAACTTAACGATACGCCATTAAACAGAGTAAAGAAATGTAATCAATCACTTTCGAGTTATTATAAACGAAAATCTTTTTCTTTGAGAGAGCATATTGATCATGTGTGGAAAAAGGCTCTTATGGGAACACTCCCAACCTTTTATACAATGCTATTGTTTCATCCCACTTTGACTATTGTGACGTAGTGTAGGAAAACTGTGGAGCCACACTTCAAACTAAACTACAAAAACTCCCAAACAGAAGCGCCCATATCATAAGAAAGATTGACTGGAATATTCCAATAGTGTGAATCTAAGAGAATTGAATTGGATCCCCTCAGTGCAAAAAGATACCAATATGATACTGTTATAATGTATAAAATTATTCATAATATGCCGCAGTATTGAAAGATTATATTTGATTTTGTCCATTCAAATTACGCATTGAGGAGAGGTAACTTGTGTTTCAGCGCCAAAGCCCAACACTGAGTCCCTTAAACGAAGTTTCAATTACAAAGGTGCATTTACTTGGAACTCCTAGCATGCCAGTGTTCAAAATGCACCCAGTCTACAAAGTTTTAAGATAAATATTTCGATGGCACCGGCATGTTGAAAATTTACCCCTCACTCCTGCTGCTCCTTGATTTTCATATCAGGAGTTCATCTGGAAAGTTTGTTTGGTTTCAACATTTTATATCTGAAATATATATACACATTGTATTTATTTAATTATCTATCGTTTGTTTGTCTATCTTTTTCATTTATTTTACCATTTTTACTGTTACTATTGCTTTTATACGATTAGTCTGTACTTGTAGTTTTATTTTTGCACTGTAATCAGCTTTTATCTCAGTTATTGGCTCATTGGTCCTGTTTAGTTTCATTGTTATATCAGTGGCAGTACGTTTGTTTCTGTAAATTTTCCTCTTTTGTTTCAGTTTCTTCGTTTGTTTTAATTGCCTTTAAGGGCTTTTTTACATCACTAGTTCACCTTCGTAAATTGTTTAATACAATTGCTTGGTGTTTGATTTGTATTTTTTTCATGTTTCTGGTGGTTTTAATTCTATTGAATTTTGCATATGAACGAAATTGTTATTTTACCTTGGATGATTGATTACTATTTTTACTTGGTGTAGTTTATATTTTAGTTACCGTTTTACTTTCACTTTATTTTTAACTCAACCATGAGCTCTTTTTAATAACACGGCCCCTTGAAAAACACCTGTAGTTGAATGGGTTACGTGCAAAAAGAAGTTTAAATAAATAAATAAAAAGGGCAGAGTTGTCGCCCAATGCAAGGACCTGCGTTTCGACTAGGGATAACTTGCGTTGATTAACCACCGTTTGTTTGGTGAAGGCGACCTGTGAACGGAGATGAGATTTGGTGTGAGTTTGGCCTAAGGATATAGCAGAACCCATAGGTTGAGGTCTGGAACAGGGATTGTGGTAAGTGGGACGTGGGGATATAGATGATCCCATCGTCCGGTATTTAGCCGAGGTATAGTCAACGCAAGTTACCCCCAAGGAATCTAGTAGTCTCCTACCTTATTTTTAACAAGGTGCTGATCTTATTTGCTTCTGTAACCTTCACCACTTTGGACTATTTCAGGATGCTGTTAGTTAGCTTTGTTGATGGAAGTTCAGTGTTGTGTGGTCCTTCTATTAATCTCACGTGTTAAAATGATGTTAAATTGCGTAAACGTATCATTTTGACTATTGCAATCAACGCCACTGGACAGAAAGAAAAAGCATTGGTCGTAATAAGAAGTCGAGATTATCTCCACAAAACGTCATCTGATATAATAAAGTCCTCAGTTTTGAAAAGATAACATTCCAAGCTTCAGTTTACTATAAACTAAAACAACTAGTTCTGACGATTATTTGGGGAAAATGAATGATATTTTTGGGTGGTGTTTCGGGACACGTTGTAGGTTCATCCCCCCCCGAATAGGAAAGAAACAGCATTAAAACAAACAGCGTGGGTCGGGGAACCGTCTGGAGTCTGCATTCCCTCAAGTGGATGCTCTGAACATTCATACACTTGATAAGTGCGGGAATCGGGCATGATTGGCGCCTGTCCATGCAATTACTATGGAGTTCAACACATGTATTCGCCATTGATAAAACGGCTCTGATTGTATGGCTTAACGCTTTCGACCCATTAATAACTAGCGGACAGAACATAGAAGACAGCTTTTAATTTTTCTTCAATCATGTGGGGACGTACTACATCATGTGGAGAACTCAACATTTGCTGGCTTGAACACGTAGAAATTATGTATTGAAATAAAAAAGAGGGTCAAAGAATGATCAGGCAGCTGTGTTTAAAACTCATACGAGGAAGATTGATATTAAAAGAATGCTAAGCAACTTTTTAAAGAGCACCTAAAAGTAAAACATGTTTTCTGTGATTTTATCTGTCCAAATAAATATGGCAGCATTTAAATTGAACGCAGTGTCATTTGTGTTCAGAGCTCAACTATAACAAGCTCAAAAGTTTTGTTGTTGTTGTTCATGCCAACTTAGACGCAAATTCTGAATGTAAATTGCGTCATAAAGAGAAAACAGAGAAAACGAGGGGAACCAGATAAACCCTTGTGCGTGCAAAGATTTACCTTCCTGCAGTTATAGGTTCTAAATTTAGTAGAGTTGACATGGCGCTTTTCTTGTCAGCAAAGGTCAGATAAAATATTAGAGAATTTTGTAAATGTAGATTATTGCTTTAATCTTATTTCCTAATACAGTTTTTTAAACCGTAAAATATTTAGATTTTTTTTTATTTTGGCTTTTACCGACAGACGACTGTAAAGTTCAATTTCATAAAATGTTTTTTTGCATACGAGACCACCGAATGACATTTTTCCTCACGTATTTTAGATTTTCGGAAGTGAGCAGTCAACATTTGGCAGGACGTTTCTCTTTAAGGTCGGGTAATTTTTCAGTTTCTGTAAATTGATATGCTAGCAAATATTTTACACAAGGCCTTTTTATGAGTTGACGTTTTTAAGAAAATAAACTGAATGGAAAATTATTACAAATTCTAAAATTTTTGCAGGTTATATTCCTATCCAAAGGTTCCGGAAACGCACCATCAGAGGTCAACTTTCAGGCTCTATTGTTGCAGTACACTACACAGCTGATACTGACTACACGTCCTCAAATCCAATGGGATTTTGACTGATTAACAACTGCCTGGAGAAAAGTACGAACTTAAAAGCAAAATCATTAGAAGGTCTTCGTGTCTTAAAGTCGCTCATAATTCAATTTAGTATTGGCAGTTTGTCTTTTGCTACTGATTTTTTTTCCTGACGTAGCATGCCATCCTCGTGGACGTACACGTGCGTTGTCAATCAGCTCGCAGCCAATTCAGCGGGGACAGCAGTAATCCCGCAGCTGACCCCAGCAAGTTTAGACTTTCTTGTGGTTGCGTACTTGAATGTCGTTAGGCCTAAGTTGTATAGTCTGAGCGCAAATTAAAAGGAGACATTCAACGACGGAACTGTTAGCCAGGGGCTAGTTCACTTCCTGACTTCCAAGAGATTTGGAGTTATCAGAGACGACTGATAAAAACATGTCTGCAAAACCAGGGATACTTGCCAAGATGGGCTTCGTCTCCGGCGTAGGTTTTGCCTCAGATCTGAGAGTCAGTTTCAAATATTTGCTGTGGAAGCCAATTCAAACTAGCCTAATCTCTCCAAAAACAGTGTGATGTTTCTGTTTCTGCATCAAGAATTTCAAGCCGTGGGACATAATTTCTGACACTAAAGCTTACAGCCAAGTATAACAAACCTCATCTTAAAGGGACCATGAAATTTCGCGGCAATATTTGCAACCGGAGATACAAGGAGTCGTGAATTTGATCGTGAATATTGACGTCAATATTCGCAACTGAAGAGCGAGTCGTGGATGTTGGTCGTGAATATTGACGGCAGTATTGACGATTGGTGCTGTCCCTCCAGGGCCACCATATCTATGTGCACTATATATGCATGACCACTATGGTTGGACACTATTTTGGACCGGTTACTACATGTATTTGGCATGTACGTGCCAAATAGTGTCCTGCATCTACCGCAGATGCTCATCAGACATTATTTGCTATCAGACAGTTTTTGGAATGTGGCAAAGGGTATGAAGCTGCCAGCTAGCTTTTAAAGTGCGCTGGCCCTTCAAGCTGTGCTCGCTGCGCGCTCAGCACGGCGGCGGAAGGTAAGCTCGTTTGTCACCCAGCGCCCACTAGCCTTGCATAGATTATAGTGAAGAAGATACGTCACACGGGGTCTCAGTAACGACGTACAGAGCATTGTGGGTAAATTTCTGCTAGGCGCACGAGCTCGCTTAATGCGTTACGGTTATCGGTGCGATATTGTTTCTTTTACTTATTCTTTCTTCTTCATTGCTGAAAAAATCTAATTACACTTTATTCGTTCATCCAAAATTGATCAAGACAACTGACAGGTCGGGGACCAAACCACAATCTAGCGACTACGTCAGACTATGCATACGCCGCTCGATTGTACAACGATGACGTAATTTTTTAACTATTTTTAGATCACGGTTCGCAGATGACATCGACAAAAATTGCTCTGATTGATCAA